CCTCCTTTACCTCACAAAGCTGCTTGGGGACAACACTTTACAAAGGGCCTTGATTTGAGTGGAAATATAAAACACAAAGGAAACAATTATCAGCGGCTGTTCTTACTCACTGGAAGACAGACTCACCTGCCATCTTTGTGTCTCTTCCAGTCATCAGTCATTCCTTCTGTGGTCAGAGCACCGGGGTGGGAAGAATAACAGGGGCCTGGCCCTGAGGTAACCAGTGGTGTCTCCGCCCACGGGACACGCAGTTTCTGCAGTCACAGCCGGAGGCCCGAGCAGGTGGCCACAGAGAGGACACCTCCGTTGCTGTGCCCCCATGTGCAAAGCACACTTCTGGAGACTCGGCCTTAGAAACCCGATTCCCAGAGGTTCCTCCAGGAAGCAGGAGTGGGGTCAGCAAGAGGGATGGGCCTGGGTGGGCCCGGTCTGGAGTCTCCATCAGTCTCCCTACAGGGCCTTACTGCAAGGGCATTTCCTTAACCTGGGGCTGAAACTGAAATGATAGCCCGTGAGAAGCAGACAGCCTCCGACCAGCGGTCGCTCCACACACACAGCAGCAGTGCCCACCAGAGCTCACAGAATGCAGAGTCTCAGGCCCGCCCCAGCCACTGAATCAGCAGCTCTGGGAGAGCGGCTCAACCATCCGTTTCAACAAGCCCCCTTGGGGGCAAGGGGTGGCCCGTTGCGCCCCCTTGTGGGATGTCCGAGGAACTTGTAATATTGGTTTCGTGAAGATACATGTTCAAAATACGAACCAAAGACCCCCGTCATGGGTCACAGTTGCCTTGTTATTAGAAATGTCGTTTGGCTTTATTGAGTCTTAGCTGCCTTGTTTTAGGGACAAGCAGAACCCATCAGGGACCAGGTCCAATGATGGCCCAGGGATGCCTCCTAAGCCTCTCAGGTGCCACACCTGGCTCTGGGGGGTGCTAGTTGGTATGTGTGTGGGAACAGATGTGGGGATTCAGGTCTGATTCCATCCAGGCTTTCAGGTAACATTGCCTGGTGCCATTTTGTTCAAAACTGCACCTACCATCAACCTGTTCTGGGAAGAAGGTTCCCATCCCTACAGAGCCTTGGCGGGCATTGCCTCAGGTAACGCCAAGAGGCAGATTGACAAGTTTAGCAGCTGGCAACCCCCACGTGCTCACTGGCACTGTCTCCTGACCCCTCTCTGGAACTTCACTTCCTCCAAACCCTCCCTTTGCCCCTCTTCTCATCCCATTTCCATCCGTCTGTTATATGAAATGAAAGCATTTTTTGCTATATTTCTTGAACAAAATTTTATATTCTTTGTTTTTTTTAAAGAAGCAAGAGATCCTCTGGCCCACCCCAAGGGAAAATAACCCTAATGACTAGACTCCTCAAAGGGAGCTTGTGATGGATTTTTCCTATGGCTCAGTTTATTTCAATGTTTTAAAGCTGCCCATATGAGTTCTGCAAGGTATAGACTCCTACAGGCTCAGAGACAACATCACTTCACTCCCTGGATGGCCCTAGTTGGCCCTTTTTGAAAGTCTCTTCCACATCTTTGGAAGCCAGAAGCATAAAAAGGGATTAACAGTAAAATCTTTACACATGCAAAATGCCACAGGATTCAACTTCATTCTCGTTTCTGTGCTTGGCAGAAAAGGTGTGAAATGAGTCTCTTGTGTCTTTACACTGGAAAAGCACTGCTGATAATGAAATTCTCTTAAAAGCTTTGCAGACTACACCACATCATGAATGTAAAATGAAAGCTAAATGCACTTATTACTCCACGACTTGAGCAACAGAGTCAAGGTGCTCCCTATCCTCTGATCTTCTCCCTCCCTGTTTGGGGCTCATGACCCTAACCTCCATTTCTAAGGCAGCCCTCACTCAGCAACTACTCCCTGAGAAACTGCTTAAAATAGATGCCCTGAGAAACCTACAATAGAGTAACTGGTAGAAAGAGAGAAAGAGAAGAAAGGATGGAAAGGGGAAGGGAAGGGAGGGGAGGGAAGAAGAGGGGAGCTGGGGGGAGCAGAGCAGATGGAGGGGAGGGAACTGCTGCACGGGCCAGGACAGTGGCACAAGGGTTGAATGAATGTTCCCAATGGCTTCTCTTGCAGCTCTCTGCCTCTAATACAGCAGAATGGGCCTCAGGATGTGGATAACCCAGATACAGTGGTCATTCTCCTTGTTGATCCCACAGACAGCAGAGAACTAAACTAGTCAGTCGTTCATCCTGTCTCAGAGTTCAGGTACAAACTCTCTCAGCTCTGAGAATGTGCATACACCTGGAGACCAGCTGCTGGAGAGTAAAATTTCATAGGAAGGAATAAGCATGTGTGTGCATGAGACAGACAGAGACCTATCATGGTTTTGAGATATTAAGCTTTTAGGAGGTACCCTGTTTAGATTGGACCAACTTAAGACATATTTTTCTGCAAACTGACAGAGATCAAGAGGCTTTCACGCCAACATATGAGGCCTAGCTGTCAATGCCATGTGGTACCAACTCGAAGAAAAGAGAAAAAGCAGACTCCAGGGTCTGGAAGCACTTTCCAGGCCATTACAGGGAGGGCAGTGAATGCTGTGGTGCTGCCCAGAGGATAGGAAGGCCATCACAGCCTGCTTGCACCCTGCCATCCTAGCATCTGTGAGCACAGCTGCTCACAACGTGAGCAAGTGGGTGAGCTCTGTGTTTGGAGCCCATTTTATGCTCATTTTCATGAATAAAGAAACTCAACTGCTTAAACGTAAAGTGTATTACCCCCTGGGAAGAAACTATGAACGGTTCTAACAACGCCACCCAAGGGAGGAAATGGTCATGCAAAGGCATTCTTTTCATCCCAAACAACTTCAAAACTTTGTGCAGATTCATCTAGAAGTACTGATTGGTTACCACATGCAGCCAACGTCTATCTGCTGTACCAGCATTGACCAGGGACTCTCGAGACCAGAGGAAACCTAGATATCACCTCTTTGCCTGCACCTCCATTGCCAGACCTGCAGGGGGCGAGCAGCCCAGGAACATAGCTGCGTCAACCTGCAGAGACAAGGTTCCTAGAGTGTGAGGACCTGGTTTTTACTCCTCCGAAGGGTAGGATTTGAAGCTGGGGACTTTGCCCAGAGCCACATACAAAAAGTTCACAATCCTCTAGGTAGTGAGTCATTCCAAAGCTGGAGAGGCTAGCTGAGGAGAGAGGTTCCACCCAACCGGCCCTGGGGGCACTCAGAGGTTTGCAAGGATGCAGTCTAAGACAGCGGCTGCAATGCCGTCCAAAAACCAGGATGGTGAGAAGCGTCAGCGACTGTTGTGGAATGCAAGATCTCACCTCCAAAACAAGCTCGTGGCCCACAGGATGCTGATGGGCATTCTAAACAGCATCTTTTCTAAGGGTCACACAGAGCTCTTCCTCTTTTTTAAAAAGACATTTTTGCCCTCTGTTCCTTCTCCGTGCATTAAATTTTTACTTATGAGAAAACTAAGTATGGAAACACATGGAGGAGGCACCACCCAACAAGAGCAAGTGCGAGCATTCTGTCACATGTGCTTCCTACCTTGTTTTAGGAAACGACTATCACAGAGATGAAGTGCCTTTGTGCCTCTCTCCAGATCACACGTCCCCCTCACCCAGGGATAAGCACACCTGGGCTGTGGGTCCTGGAATCTTATGCATGTACTACCCACATAGGTATCCTCAGATTCCTCGGCTGTTGTGTATTTCAGTCTACACAAACGGATTCATACTGCACATAAATAAGGTTGGCAACTCATTTAGATCTATCACCGTTAACACATATAACTCTAATTCATCTTAATTTTAATAGCATGTAGGCATTAGAGGACTATATTCTACAACTTTTCCACTATAATGGCATCTTTGGCTATTGCAAACATGCTGCACTAAACATCCTCACACATGTCTCCCTATGATATGTCTGAGAGTTTAAGGTATATTTGCAAAAGCAGAAATACTGGGCATGTGGGGTATATACTTTTCATGGACTAGATACTGTCTAACACTGCTCCAAATACACATTTCCAGTTATCCCTGCTGGCAGTCTATGAGTCCCCATCTACCTGTATGGCCCATCAACATTAAGGAACTGTCAGACCTTTCAATTTTTCATCAAGATGATGCAAAATAATGGTATGATTTTGTTGAATTAAATATTCACTAATTTGCATTCCCTTGACCATCCCCTTCCTGTCAGGGGACACTTGAGATTTCCTCTTTTGCAAATTTCTTATTCATAGTTTTTGCCCGTTTTTTTCTATTGGATTTATCATTTTCATGATTTATAAAAGATCTTTATATATGTTTATTACCAATCACTTGTTATCTATGTTGTATATGGCTTCTCCAAATTTGTCATTTACACATTGAGCTTTAAAATGTAAACTGAGGTCTTCTGAATATAGTATTTCTGAAATAGGTGATAGCCCAAAATCAGAAAAGAATTGTTTACACAGCTGTAAGATCTACAGACACAGCAAAATCACAGTACAGTCATAACTATGTAACTTTTACGTTTGGGGAGCCCTTTACATTTTTCAAGGCATCTTTTAATCACCTAATTTCAGCCTTATAAAAATGTGAGGCTAGTGACCCCTCACTTTCTCATCTGTACGATTCAGTGATTATCAGTAACCTTTTAATGGCCAAATTCTGACCTTTTGTCCCTGTTCTGCAACTAGGAAGATGGCAAAACACATCTTTAGTCACATCCCTGTGGAAGGGTTCAGACAGGTTATACATCAATTTTATCCTAATAAAGCCATGGGGAAAAGGTCCAAGAGGCCCTAAAATCAATCAACTGATTCTTGGGCAGTGCCAATCCATGCATAGGTGGCACTGAGATCAGCCCCAGGGCATGAGGAAGGGCAGCAGTGAGGAACCTGAGATGGCATGACTCCACCTCTTGACCTTCCAAAACATGGAGAATACACCCTCCTCCATTCACACAGGATGAAGCCCCACTGTGTTTCTGCTCTTGATAAGAACAGGGCCACACAAACACAAGGATGAACTCCATTTAACAACTTTTATTGAGCAGTGAGCATTGAGACTGGGCCCTGCCCTCAGCACTCCACCTGTGAAAATGTTCTCAGCATTTATTGCTAGAGGCAAGTTTGTCGTAAAGAGGAAAGGGCAGAATGTGATGTTTTTGTCTTTGTTATTAGTACATGCAGAAACATGAATTATCCAAACCTTGTTAGACAGACCTAAAGCTGTCCCTGAACAGGAGTGGCCCTTCTCAGCATCCAATAAAGACTGCAGTGGCATGGCTGGAAAATTCCCAGGGTGGCCAGCATGAAACTTTTCACCAGATCTGGGGCCACTCATGGAACCCACAGCCAGACACCTCTGGCCATGAAGAACAACTATGTGATTATATAAGGCCATCCTCCTCACATTCTCTGGGGTAGGGAAGACCAGGCAGACCTGCAGAATCTGGTGACATTCCCATTTCTAAGGACGCTGGCTTCAGGCATGACTCACAATAGTGTTCACAAGTGGTGCCCGCCCCAGCAACCCAGAAGTCAAATACAATGGACTAACTATGGAAAAGTCTTCTGGTCTAACTCCCCTGTGTTTGTTGTTTTTAATTATACAGAATCTTAAACAAATGCAGCCTGAATATACTACTTAATAGTATATTGGCTTGTAACAGAGAATATAAGTTGTTTCTAATACTACAGGAACAGATTGTAACAGATTTTCTTTCCCTGCCTGGGATAATCAATCTGTTTCCTGCCCAGTGCAAAGCTGAGACAATTCCTTAAGCATAATGCATGTTCTGTAATTATCTGCAAATGCATGAATCAACGATTAATACCCAGTGGGTGTTGGTAACCTCGTTTACTAATTTCAGTGCTTCAAGGAGTTAGCAAACTTTAGGATGGGAAAATAACTCATTTGGCAACTGAGAAACAGATGAAAAATAATCCTTAAAGAGCTTCCTAACAGTCCTTCATGCTGGAAATGACTACTCCTGGGAATGTGTTTAAACACCTTCATGTTACTGTTGTTGTAAAGACATTAATAAAACCTAGGTTAAACAAAACCTATGTATGTCTAAAAGCTTTTTATTCCCTATATAAACTTTGTTAGAAGAGTTGAGACCTCAAACTGAAGAAAAATTTCCAAAGAAACACTGTGCTAGTGGGGAGTGAAATGCCCCAGCCTTCCCCAACTGAGACCCATAAGAAACCCTGGGTGATGCGCATACCTGGGCACAAGTGGGCCTTGGAAAGTGTCAAGCATGGCTCCAGAAGCAAGCATTCAAGTGGCATGATGTCACCAAAGCAGTGTCCTGGGCCACAGGGTCAGGACCCAACCTCCCAAGGGGCACGCCTGTGGCACAGGCTCCTCTGAATGCCCAGGGCCACTCAAGGGCCCCAAGAATCAGCCAGGGCCACCCTCTCAGCAATGCCCTGGCCCCCTGCCCTGCCTGGTTTGGCCTTTCCCCATGCTTCTGGAAGTCTTTCCTGAGGGTCCCTCTGAGGAAGGTCAGTGAAGAAGCCAGCTGGACAGCGGCCAGCACAGGACCCCCAAAAGGTGAGGTGTGGCCTGTCTCCAAGGCATTGGAGACATTCTCCAGGATCTTCAGAGAAGATGAAATAGATTGGTGGCAGGGACTCAGGGACATCATTTGATCTAGGGCAACGGCCCAGCTTCAGACAGACAAGGCAGAAGCCCCAGCAGCCTCTGCCTCCCGCATCTGCAGCTCAGTTGTAGGAAAGGTAATCAATAAGCCGGGGAGGGAGGTTCAATTTGGTGATCTTCTCCAGCCCTCTGACACCAGTGGCCCTCCTGAAGCTCACCCTGCAGAGCTGCAACAGGGTCAGAGGTGTCTCTGAAAAAAGAGAATAGAAGCACATGAGGTCACCTTCAGGAAGCAGAGCACACCCTTCAACCTAGTAAGTGCCCAGGGGGAGCTGGTGATGCCACCCTCTCTGTGCAGTAGGACGTGCCCTGCATGCCTCCTCTGGAAGGCTTCGAGGAAGGACAACAGGACCCAGGGAGGAAGATCAGGAAATGGAACTAGATGATATCCAGTGGAATTTTATTTTGTGGAGTTTTGGGGGTTGTTTGTTTTTGTGATTTTTTTTTCATATTTTAACTTGGCATACAGATTTGTCAGCAAAGGACTAATGTATGGCTAGCAGGCTCAAACTTCCAGACAAATGAGGGACAGGGTAGGTTAGTCCTGGGCTGGTGCCAGCTGCCAGCTCCTGCTGTTTCAGGCCATTAAGGGGACCCAAGGAAAACTGCCTCACAGCACCACACAGCTCCAGCAGACACATACTCAAATGCACATCCTAGAGCAGGGGGTTGGGACCTCAGGACAAAGATGGAACTAGAGTTCAGGAGGGCAAGCAAACCAGGGCCAAAGCTGGAAGACGCCTGGTGGGTCCTGGAACATTTGCAAAGCAGGGCCTGGCCTCAAGGCCTGCCTTTTAGAATGATTTGATTCTTCAAAAAACCATGCAGGACACATTTATATCTAGGTTTGATAAAGTATAAATTAACCAGAGTATTCTCAATTTGTGGAAACTCGTGAAATAAAAAGCTCTTTGAAAGAAAAAACTACTGGTGAAATTCATTTTACCAGGTAACTTCATCCCCCAAAGTATTTGAATGCAAGAAAAGAAACACCATCTGGAAATATTTAACTGACAGATAGGGATGGTGTTTGCCTCTAAGATCCAAATGGATTCTGGCTGAATAGGGCTGGCAACAATTTGAATAACAAGGTTTCTCTTTTCAACTGATAGGTATTTGAATGTGAGTGTAAGTCTAGGTAAACACAAAGTCTAGGTAAAAGCGTTTACCCGAAGAAGTCTTGCCCTTAGATCATTTGTACTGTTTGCCAAATTGTAAGGGCTACATCTGTATAATCAGCCTCATCAGGACTAAGTCCGAGCTTGTTTATTTACTCATCAGGGATCTGATATGTTGTCAGGACAGAGCTTCTTGCCTAACTGTCTCTCAGGCAGTTATAGAATACACCACATCATTCAAAGGACCACAACAGGGAGAAGCATTGGGCCTCACTTTCATAGAACTCAAAGCACTTGGCTGGCGCACCACTACTCCCAGTGTAGTCGGATGGCTTCTTCCCCCGGTTGTCCCGCGCATAGATGTTGCCTCCAAACTCAACAAGCATCTCGATGAGGTCAACATTCTTCACCTTAGCAGCGTGGTGCAGGGCTGTCTCATGGAGCTTTGCCGCATTCACATTGGCCCCTGCAGGCCCAGAGCAAGGAGAGCATGTGGAGTCAGGAGAACATGAGCTGGTGCTTTTTGTCCAGCAGAGCAGACTAAAGCAGTCCTCTCCAGGAATCAAGACCAAGACAGACTCTGCTGCAGCCTTTTTAACATCTTTTCCAAAACCCAAAAGCAGCAATCACTTCTTTTTTTTATAACAAAAGGACTAAGGACAGGTTAGCAGTAATCAAGAAATATAACTGGAAAAACAATTTTTAAAAAAGGAAATACAGCTGGAAATAGAACCAAAAAGAAAAATAAAGCAAAAGCTGTGCTGTGAGTTAAGAGACAGTCCTAATGCCCAGACAGCCTGTCCTGCAGCACCAGAGCTCAGACTGAGCCTCTCAGGCCCCTGACCTTCCCTCACCCATGCACACGCAGCAGGAACGGGACAGAGGCTCTGAGAGGGTGTGTCGCATGAATGAGTGAATATTCCTTAAATATAAATATCCTTTTACAAAAGTGAAACTCAGAGGGAACACAAGTAATGTTCCCCAACACCCTGGAGTTCAGGTAAGAGATAAAGTCTCTTAATCTCAAATCCAACTCTGCCATTCATCTCTTTCTTGGGAAAATAGAAACATTCAGAAAATTGTGAACAAGTAGCAACTAAATACAGCAGTTTTAGATGCATCAAAAGATAACAATTTTGATAAAGATATGCTTTATATAGAACCATCACCACTTCTATACAGCGGGATCTCCAGGAACCTCAGAATTTTTATTAAAAAAAATAAACCAACTTCTTCAAAGTACGTGGGTAAGGAGTAACAAGAGGAAGGTGGGGAAAGTAGTTTGGAAAGTAAGCAAATAGCCCAGCAACCGTGAAGTGAGCCTCCAAATAGTAGATTCAAATCACAATCATAAAATAATCACCAAAGTGGGGATTAAAAAACATCAGATCACCAGCATGTCACCCTGTTGATTTTTATATCCTGCAACTTTACTGAATTTTTTTATAAATTCAGAGGGCCAAAATAGGAGGAAATGAGGGGGCATGAACACATGGGACTACATCATGTTAAAAAGCTTCTGTATAGCAAAGGACACCAGCAGCAGAACAAAAAGGCATCCTACATTATGGGAGAATATATTTGTAAATGACATATCTGACAAGGGATTAACATCCAAAATATATAAAGAACTCACATGCCTCAACACCCAAAAAGCAAATAACCCTATTAAAAAAAGGACAGAGGATATGAAAAGACACTTCTCCAAAGAAGAAATTCAGATGGCCAAAAGGCACATGAAAAGATGCTCCACATTGCTAATTATCAGGGAAATGCAAATTAAAACCACAATAAGATATCACCTCACACCAGTTAGGATAGTCAACATAGAAAAGACAGACAGCAAATGCTGGCGAGGATACAGAGAAAGGGGAACCCTCCTATGCTGCCAGTGGGAATGTAGACTAGTTCAACCATTGTGGAAAGCAATATGGAGGTTCCTCAAAAAACTAAAAATAGAAATACCATTTTACCTGGGAATTTCACTCCTAGGAATTTACCCAAAGAATACAAGTTCTCAGATTCGAAAAGACATATGCACCCCCTATGTTTATTGCAGCACTATTTACAATAGCCAAGATATGGAAACAACCTAAGTGTCCATCAGTAGATGAATGGATAAAGAAGAGGTGGTACATATACACAATGGAATACTATTCAGCCTTAAGAAAGAAACAAATCCTACCATTTGCAACAAGACGGATGGAGTTAGAAGGTATTATGCTCAGTGAAATAAGTCAGGCAAAGGAAGACAAATACCAAATGATTTCCCTCATTTGTGGAGTTTAACAACAAAGCAAAACTGAAGGAACAAAACAGCAGCAGACTCACAGACTCCAAGAAGGGACTAGCGGTTACCAAACGGGAAGAATGGGAAAGGGTGGGTGGGAAGGGAGGGAGAAGGGGATTGTGGGTTAACATGATTGGTGCACATGGTGTGTGTGGGGTCACAGGAAAGACAGTGTAGCTCAGAGAAGACAAATAGGGACTCTGTGGCATCTTATTACACTGACAGACAGTGACTGCAGTGGGGTATGGGGCGTGGGACTCAATAATAAGGGTGAATGTATCAACCATATTGTATTTCTTGCGAAACCTTCATAAGAGTGTATATCAATGATACCTTAATAAGAATAAAAAATAAAAAATAAAAAAAATCTCACATTAAAAAAAAACATTTACTGCTGGTGATCAGATTAAAAATTACTCCAGCTGGACTTTCATCTTTCCCAGACACCCCCCACCCCAGACCTCCTTGCACGAACAATCTGCATCTCAAAGACTTGGTTTCACTCCTTCATTTCTCAACAGTTTTGTTTTTCATCCTAAGTCGCACCCAGAATAGATGAAATGACTGAGCTAAAATTTTCCCTCAACAAAATATTTATACTGGGTGCCTAATAAGAACTCCTTGCCAATACCAGCTTTGGCTACATTTCAAAACTTCTCTGGTGGACAGGTCCTGAATGTAACCTTCCCTTGGTAGGGTTGTTTATTATTTCATTTTTGTTTTCCACCTTGGGAACCTCTACATTCTGAGCCTTTTTAGATCAGCTGACAGTGACCTGGATTAAATGTTGCCGACTCCATTTCACGTTGGATCCCCAAATCGTTCTGATTAGACAGCAACCCCATTAGGCAGGTATCATGAATGGTGTCCTGTGACCATGTGAAAAGTAGCACTAAATTCTAAGAGTAATGATTAGCATTTGCTGAATGCCTACTATGCACCAGGTACATGGAAATGTTATCACAAATCCTCCTGATGACCTGCAAAATAGGTTTTATATTTCCTGTTTTATAGATATGGACACTGAGGCCCAAGGTATCAGCCAGCAAGCAGGAGAGCAAGCTTCACACGTGGTCCATCTGACTCCACCACCCAGCTCTCCACAGTGCACGGTGCAGGTAAACAAAATCCACCTGCCCTGAGGAGGACAGGTGGAAACAAGAGGCACCTGCACTGAGCAGTGCAGATATAAATACCAACTCACCTGCATTGAGCAGCACTTTGACACAGTCCAGATGCTCCCGAGCACAGGCAACATGCAGAGGGGTCCCGAAATGGCAGTCATGCGCTTCCAGATTGGCCCCAACGTCAACAAGACACCTAACACATTCAGAACTTCCTTAAAAGAAATGGAAAAGGGTGAAAAGTCACACTGAACATATTCATTTGAAATAACCAGCATAACGTAAAGAGCAGCTGGAATAGGGAAGCCCATGCCTGATCTCAGAGGAGAGGGAACCAGGGCTTCATCCCAACTCAGAGCTGTTTAGGTCCCACATGGTCCTGGGGAGCAAGGGGGGGGGGCTATTCTTTCTCCAGAGAGTGCAGTGGTTCTCCAAGCCTGTGGGGCAAGGGAGGCAGGGAGGGCAAGGCCAGCTCTCCATTAGGAAAACAAAGGTCCTGGAAGGCCACCTCTGCACAGCCAGTCTCGCTGCCCCTCACTGCTCTCCACCTCTGCACTCTCTCCTGAGTTGGGTCTGTAGTGCTGAGCCCAGAGGTGACGACATGAAGCTGCAGGCATCCCCAGTCCAAGACTCTAGGATGAGCTTCCCTAAATTTCCTCACCTCCTGGGGCCCCCCACCTTCCAAGCTGACACCTTGCCTACCTCTTCCCCTGGCTCCTTGCCCTATGTCTCTAACCCAGGTTGATGTGGGGTTTCATCCCATCCTGGACTGCACCATACTTCACCACACTTTGCTGTTAGCAGCTCTAATCCGTTGTCACCACTAGCCTTGAAATCCTGCCTCGCACCTACAGCCTTCTGCTGGTCAATCTCATTTGATATCTTGGCCACTGCAAAGTCCCCTCCCTTCCCAGGGGCTCGTGTTCCTGACCAATCTGTCCCAGCACCACTCCCTGCTCAACCCTGAGTCAGCGTTGACCCTGTGTTCAACTCTCCCCCACAGCAAATCTATTGATTCTTCCCCCAAAGCATTCTAAGTGAATCTACCACATGCCATGATCAAGCTCAGGATCTCAGGGCTTTGCACTTGATCACTGCGATGGCTCCTGACTCATCTCTCCACTTCCAGAGACACCCACCACCACCACCAAAGCTCATCCTGTCTATTGCAGGGTGACAGGATTTATCACACCAAACTATGCCACTTTCACAGAAGTTATTTTGAGCTGAAGACAACTGAGAAGAAATACAAGAAAAGCTGTATGCCCTCCCCCATTTGCCTAAGAGCATAAGGTGAATCTGTAAAATTCCCAAACTGCCAACACCAGGCAGGACAGATGATCACCAGAGACGCACCTGTGGACCATCGCAAGCCTTGCCAAAGCTGGCCTCACCTCCCATGAGCTCCCTGTGCATTTGTCTCCTTGCGATTTGCCATCCAAGAAGCCCAAAATCCTCTTCCTTTGTCTGGTCACTTCTCTTAAAACTTACTGCTCTTTTGCTAAAATATAAGCCAAGTTCTAATCACTGATGGGTGCTCCTCTGGGTACATGTGACGCAGGCATTAACAAACTTGTGCTTTTCCCTTGTTAATCCATTCTTTGTGAGCTTAATGGGCAGGGCCCCAGCCATTGAACCTAACTAAGATAGGTGGAGGGTAAAAAATTCTTCCTCCCAGCCAAGATGGCAGCATGAGTAGTTCAGTGGAAATCTCCTCCCAAAAACATATATTTATGAAAATACAATAAATACAACTATTCCTAAAAGAGACACCAGTGGATACAGTACAGCAGCCAGGATACATCTACATCTGCGAGAACTCAACATCACACAAAGGCGGTAAGATACAAGCCACGCCCAGCCCCCCCAAAATTCGGCGGGAAGAAAGGAGTCAGAACGGGGAGGGAGTGAAAGCCCAGGACTGCAAAACAACCAGCTCTAGAAATCTGCACCCAGAGTGCAGATACATGGGGCACGGGGTGCTGGATATTAGAGAAATGGAAAGGCAAAACCTGTGGGCAGGTCCCTGCAACCGGCGCCCCTGAGACAAAAGAAAAGCGAGTGCTTTTTGCAAGTCTTAAAGAGACAGGGACCCCACAGCTGGAAGAAGTCGTCCCAGCACACTTAGCTAGCAGGTGGGAATCCTGGGGAACTTAAGGCGTCCTAACCCCCTGGGCGGCAGCGCAGCTCTAAAGCCCCTCACAGCACTAGGCAGCCGGCCAGTCGTTTCCCCAACGGGCGCAGACCATGAAACACTGACCCAGTAGTGGGAGAGCGGCAGCGCACGCTGGGGATGGGGGTGCCAGAGGGGATTGGTAATGGCCCGCGTGTGCCAGCGGTGCCAGAGGGACCAGGGAGAGGTCCGTGCAAACCCGCAGCGGCAACACATGAGAGGTCCAGGAGTGGCCCGCATGTGCTGGCGACCGCGGCACCAGAGGGGCCTGGGAAAGGCTCGCAAGAGCTCGCGGCGGTGGTGACTGAGCGGCGCAGGAGTGGCCTATGCGTGCTGGCGACCGCACCACCAGAGGGGCACGGGAGAGGCCCGTGCGCACCTGCAGCGGTGCCAGAGGGAGCAGTCATGCTCCCAGCACCTGACTGGAATCCCAGCCCAATGCACAGCCACCCAAGCCAGACCCAAAGGCCGCTGCTGGCACACAGGTGCCCAGCAGGGGCGCCACTATCGCAGAGGAGCACACCAGGGGTGCCTGCCACTCCCCGCAGGGCTCTGCGCTGCTCTGATGTAGACCCCACCCACAGCAGTTTAGGGGATTAACCCGGTGGCTGCTCCAGGAGTGCGTGTAACCGACACAGGCAGCGGAGAAGGGCAAGGCATCCAGCAAACAGGAAAGGACTTTTTTCTCCCAGCTGACACACCCGCAACCTGCCTACACCCACTGCTATCACCAAGAAAAAGCAGAAAAATTTAGTCCAGTCCAAAAGAGTCCAGACAATTCCTGAGAGAGGATCTGCAGAGACAGACCTAACCAGTCTCCCTGAAAAAGAATTCAAAATAAAAATCATAAACATGCTGACAGAGCTGCAGAGAAATATACAAGAGCTAAAGGAGCAAGTACAGAGTGAGACTGCAGAAATAAAACAATCTCTGGAAGGACTTAAAAGTAGAATGGATGGGATGCAAGAGGCCATTAATGGACTAGAAACCAGAGAACAGGAATGCATACAAACTGATGCAGAGAGAGATAAAAGGATCTCCAGAAATGAAACAATATTAAGAGAACTGTGTGACCAATCCAAAAGGAACAATAACTCACATTATAGTGGTACCAGAAGAAGAGGAGAGAGAAAAATGGATAGAAAGTCTCTTTGAAGAAATTGCTGAGAACTTCCCCAAACTGGGGGAGGAAATAGTTGCTCAGACCACAGAAGCACACAGAACTCCCAACAGAAGGGACCCAAAGAAGACAACACCAAGACACATAATAATTAAAATGGCAAAGATCAAGGACAAGGACAGAGTATTAAAGGCAGCTACAGAGAGGAAAAAGGTCACCTACAAAGGAAAACCCAGCAGGCTATCATCAGACTTCTCAACAGAAACCCGACAGGCCAGAAGAGAATGGCATGATATATTTAATGCAATGAAACAGAAGGGCCTCGAACCAAAATTACTGTATCCAGCACAATTATCATTTAAATATGAAGGAGGGATTAAACAATTCCAATATAAGCAAAAGTTGAGGGAATTTGCCTCCCATAAACTAACTCTACAGTGTATTCTGAAGGGACTGTGCTAGATGGAAGTACTCCAAAGGCTAAATAGATGTCACCAAAGAAAATAAAATCACAGCAAAGAAAGCACACCAACCAAATACTAACTAAAGGCAAAAAAATGAAATCAGCTATTCACAAAAACAGTAAAGGGAAACACAAAAGAGTACAGAATAAAACACCTAACATACAAAGGATGGAAGAGGAAGAATAAGAAGGGAGAGAATAAAGAATCATGAGACTCTGTTTATAATAGTGTAATAAGTGAGTTAAAGTGAGACAGTTAGATAGTAAAGAAGCTACCCTTGAACCTTTGTTAACCATGAATCCAAAGCCTGCAATGGCAATAAGTACATATATATCGATAATCACCTTAACTGTAAATGGCCTGAATACAC